TTTAACTGAGGCTTGCGATTTTATAAGCATTAAGTCCTTGATATGTGCACCACGTTTCTCATCATCGTCGACATTTCACCCTGTTAGAGTCCACTGAACACAGACTACCACGAAGCAAGATCCTGAGCCACCCGCCTTTCTTCAGAAAATGAAATGATGTATAGACATTTCTCAATGGTTTTTATTATCACCAAGATTGCGATTATTTTTTACACAATCGCTTTATTTAATACTAGCCGGCGCTGCTTCGCACGGGTGCAATGTATTATACATGTAAACCTTCCCCTTGAATCTATCTATCTAATAAAAAAACCGCATTAAGATCCGTTGCGTAGTTTTAAAGATCTAAGCATACATAGGGACAGGCAAACAGCGGGACGACTTTGTTTTATACTATGCAGTGATACGAATATGAAGGCAGATTCTTGCTCGCTTTCTAATTTACCGGTAATGCAATGACACCAAAAATCATCATAATCAATAAAATTACTTGAGCCCTAAATCGAACGAGTTAGAGCATAAACCAACTCTTATTTTGAACTGACCTGTGCTTGTAAGTAGACGCAGAAGTGATCATGCATCGTGGGCGGTACAGTCGCGGCCAAAGTTTGAACTAGTTAATCTTGCTGTGGCAACTAGCTGAGAGGATTGCCGCGTAGTAAGTGATTTAACGGTCGGCCGTCCCCATAAAAACCAAGACGGCTGTACCGTTACAAGTATTGATTAAAAATCGAGCGGCCCGTCTATAAGTGCAATAATATTAAATGCTGCAGACACTGTGGGAAAATTGTTAACGGGACAAAGGTCTGAATTAGATTAGTGGACAGGGTAACCATATCAAAGGACCATGCGAAGCGGGAGGGCGTCACGAAATTTTGGGTCAACTGAATAAGGAAGTCCTTTACATAACAATCAGTGTGAAATCATCATCATCATCATCATTTCAGCCTGCTTGAGTCCACTGCTGAACATAGGCCTCCACCATAGACTGGCATGAAGTACGATCCTGAGCCACCTGCATCCATCGACTTCCCGCACATTTGCACAGGTCGTCAGTGTGAAATAAACATTGGGAATCGTGAAAACTATGTGTTAATAGCACGATTAATACAACAATTTAAAAACATTCAGTCATTGACTTTTAACAGTCATTGACAGTATGTCAACGATTCTTAACAGCGTAGGCTGTTTTAGGAGGGTAATTTTTTTTCGATCGTATGTATATTTGTCTAATTCTTTGGCACACCCCTTAGCTTAACCTCATGACGGCTATTAACATATAAGGTACACATATATTCGTAATGGGAATGTCTCGTAGTAATAATATTATTTCAATAAATTTGAAAATAAGCGGATTCGTGAAAAAGAAAGGATTTCTTTGTGAGAGAAGGCAATCGAACTGTCGGTACACCTGATGTTAAGTGATAATCACCGCCCATGAACATTTACAACACCTGTAGGGTGTTTCGAATCTCTGGACGGACCTGTTTATTTTTTCTCAAACATTCGCGTATTTGATAAACTGTGTTTCCTTGAAAACATTCAAGAACAACGCAAATAATTGTTGATTAATTACATTAATAAATCGCTAATAAAAAAGGAACAAATAGTAAAATAACACTATACCTTTGCTATTTTATTTTATTTACTTACCAGGAATCAAATAGACATTTCACATTGTTGGTAATAAATAAAGTACTATGCCCGTCTAACTAGTTTATAAACGCGCCAATCCTTCACAAGTTTGACAGCGGCATTACAGATAATAAATGCAATTGAGCGCGACAGATAAAAATAAATAACGGGTAGGTACGGTGCAAGTTCATTTAATCTGTACAAGAGCGATCTGAAATGTAAATTAATTTTGACCGGCTTTCGAAAACGGGCGAGGCTTTCGGGCTTGGCGAAACGCATGCTTTATCGACACCGACGATGACCGAACGAGTTTTTTTTTAATTAACACAACCACATTCGCAGGTGTAAGGAATTTATAGAGACACAGGCCTATCGAGTTATTATATTTATTATTGAAAACTATAAACATATAATTGCCTTATTGGTTAGAGAAGTTGCCTCGTGGGCCATACTTTACGGCTTCCGGTCAAACGGCATTCTAGTGAGTACCATTTTTTTAATTGGTACAAAGCACGCACCATTATTCAACTATATCCTATGATGCCAACGTCATATTTGAGAATATTTTAAGGAGTAACAACGCTGTTGCTATAGTATTAAACGTTTATGTTAAAGAACAGAAATTTGAACCGTAGGTTCTGTCCGTACAAGTATTTAATAGAAAACATAAATTATAGAATAGAAACAATGTTACGAGATCAATTCCTGATGACGCTTGTTTTTTATAATTGAATAAAGTTTACTGAAAATCGGAGAGACGAAAGATTATAAACAGAAATATCTTTGAACCTCGAATCAATCAAACTAAAAAATTTTTTGCCGTAATTTTGCAAGCGTCTACTATAAACCCACAATAACACAAAATTGCGATGTATTATACTGCAGAGGTATTTTGTTTACATTACCCATTAACAACCAGCCAGGTCCGAAGCAATTGCTTTTATTTATTTATTTATTAACAGGATTACCAACATAAGATACAGCATCTACAATCTAAAAATTAAATGCTAAGAATCTACGTAACTGTTCTTACAATTAGAGGTAATCACATCATGCTTTAACAAAAATGAGAGGATAATAAAAAGTGCAATGGATAATTAAAAAAAAAATCTTAAAAAACAAATTAAGCTAACAACATTCAGAATTTTTTTATATAATAGCAAATTGACATAAGTTCTGACAATTTTGTGCATAAACAAATAATTTTAGGGTTGCGTTAACGTTTTTAATTTAGTTCTATAGCTTGTTAGACTGTCGAAATGTATGTCTAGATCAGGTGTTTGTGTTGCTTATTCATTGTACAGACGGGATATGCGGACCACAGGAGAATCACGTCCCAAATTTGTCCTGCACAGTTTTTTATTAAATAGGTCACACGGTGTTCCTGGTATCTTGCGAGGAACATTATATTGAAATTTGCTCAACAACGGAGGACAATCTATGTTATTATTCATAAGCTTGTGTAGGAATAATATGTCTAAGTGAGTTCGGCGTGTCGATAGCATTTCGAGATTGAAATGTTTTAATTTGTCACAGTACGTTTTCAGAGATCTTGGAGCGTGAAAACGGTACGTGAAAACGTGAACTAGTTTTTTTTGTACCCTTTCAATGCGGTTTGTATGGATCTTTGAAGTTGGGTACCAAACTGTGCTACAGTACTCAAGTTTACTTCTCACATAACAGTTGTAAAGCAAGATAGCGGTTGCTGTTTTCTTAAAATCTTTTGAACATCTCAAAATAAAGCCTAAGGATTTGTTAGCTTCGGTTATGATTTGATTTTTATGAAAATTAAATCGCAGTTCGCTATCCATTATAATACCGAGATCACGTATAATAGTTACTTCATATAATTTCTTACCCGCAATGTAGTATTCAGATTGAAGTTTCTTTCGTTTTCTAGTAAATTTAATATAATATGATAACATTTAGAAGTATTCCATATTCTGGCAATGAAAACATAAATAAATAAATAAATAAATAAATAAATAAAATAAATAAAAACATTTGATTTGTCATGCACCACTCGTCAATGCTATGTAGGTCATCTTGAAGACGATTGGTGTCTGTTAGATTTGTTACAGTCTTCAACAGCTTCAGATTGTCGGCAAATAGGTAAGCTTTACAGTATTTTATTTTGCTGGTAATGTCATTGATAAAGACATTGAAAAGCAGGGGTCCTTTTGTTTCTTCTTTTTAATGACGATAACTTCGACTGGTTAACGCGGAGTTCACCTACATGTAGTGATCTTGTACATCGGTATGTGATTAAAATTTGTAGAAAAATATATATGATTGAGAGAGAGAGAGAGAGAAAGAGAGAGAAAAGAGAGAAAAGAGTGTAGATTATTAAGATCCTTGGATTTTCGCACCCGTAGACTTACCTTCGACCTCACTTGCGCATGGATGAAAAGGAAAAGTAACAGATACTCAAAGTCGGTCGAATATAATTCTTGCACTTGCACCGGGTGTTCATAGACCCCACACGAGACAGCTTTGTGATATTCAGGGAATTATGTGCCATTTAGTGAGTCGGTGATGACTCCGTGACGCAGTTGCCAAGGTATTGGCTTCGGCTGGAGTGATGGGAGCCACAGATAATTGTTTCTAATCTGAGAGTTTATCCGCGTGAAATGTATGTGTCTCGGTTGCTCGATTCACTCCTTTTGCATAAAAAGCTCGCGTTGTAGCACCTCAGTAACTATTCTATTAGACCTTATAACCACTCGATGACTCATCATATCGGCGGTTTGTAAGTTTTTACGCAACAAACATCGGCTCTTGTCTAGATCACGACGAAACGATGATGGCAAAGCCGCGTCCGACGAAGATCTTAATTATAGATAGCGCAATTTAGACCGGACCTTACCGATCTACGGTTCATTCGGAGTACAAATTTCAAAGCAAGCTTTATTTACTCGAGATATATTTATTAAACCCTTCGCGATGTTTTTAAAATGATAAAGGTTTATTCATGATAACAATAAGACATCCGAAAATGTACTGAACCAATTATATACATCGTCGTAAACAACGCACAGAACGTGAAACACACAGAAAAAATACAAAAACAAACGTCTAGCAGACGAAATTAAACAGATGTGGCATCAAGAAGTTGCCAAAATCATCCCCGTCATTATTTCAACGACTGGTATCATCCCAAAATCACTTAAAACATCACTTAAAATATTAGACCTTTATGCAACACAAATGCCCCTCCAAAAATCAATAGTTAAGATGACAATCATACAAACACACATTCATAGCTTCATACAATCATAACACAAATGTAACAGACAATGATTGCGTGTAAGGTAATACCAAGTTTAAGTAATCTAAGTTTTTTAGAAGTAACGGGGTAGATATCACCATCTGGAGTAGCCGTTCCAGGGGCTAAACACTGCCTCTGGGCGATGCGTTCCTTGGGTGAACGCGAAGTTCCAGTAAGAGGCTTCTTCCCCCCCCCCCCCCCCCCCCCTCCCTGTGATGAATCCTTTGACCGTAAATTTGGACGTCTGTGAATGAACACCGATGCAGTTCCAAGCGATTGTTGCGCAAGGCCGGACGAAACGTTTCGCGTGCGGCGCGATTTGCGGCGACGTGTGGCACTGATGGATGGGACGCCCGCGGCCGTTTGCGACCACGCCCCGTGGGAACCGCACGGGGCTCTGGCATTCCACGTTCCGACTAAGGGTACCAACGATGGGGTATACAACGGTTCTTTAAGAATGGCAGTGTCTCCATTTCGTCTGAACAACAACCAAGCGTTCATGTAACGTAGAATCTCGGGTTAGTCGTTAGTTAAATATTTTATTATTAACAGACTTAACAATGGCGTTTGTCTCGACAACAACGTAGCAGTGGTTTACGAGGAACCTGCAATCATCTCGCGTTAAGCATTTAGTTATTTACTTTTGTAAACAGACAACGATGGGCTGGGTGGTAGTGATGACTCGAAAGCTGAGATTTCTTTTTCAAGTCATAATGGCATGAGCCAATATCGTTTCCACGGAAACATTAAGTGGTAAAGTATTAATAAATGACTGTCTCTTCACTGTCGCGTGAATAATGATGACACTCCTATCATATTTAAGACTTGATCAAGTAGGTCGAGCATTAATATCATTAATTCTACCTAGTTCGGGATTTGATCAGATTAGCGTAATAGATAGTGAACGCGTCTCTTACGCTCAGAGGGTGTTCAAAATATTGTATGATAAGTATGTTATTTATTTTTCTAGTGTCTACTTTTTATAATTATATCTATTAGATTATATAATATATTATAAAATTCTCGTGTCACGGTGTTTGTAATTGAACTACTCCGAAATGGCTCGACCGATTTTCGTGAAATTGTGTGCATATCGGCCAGGGCGGAGAATCGAACAACATCTATTTTTCATCCCCCTTAATGTTAAGGGTGGTCCACCCCAAACATTTTTTCTACCCTTCAAATAATTTATATGGCAAAACAACGTTTGCCGGGTCAGCTAGTTATTATATATTTATTTGCAAAGGAACACTTTGTTTAACTAAGCTTGTCAGACACCAAGTCAACATATTATATTTGCTTAGTTTGGAACTATATAAAATCATGTAAAAAATAGGTCCTTCAAACATTTATTTATTAATCCAACAGTAACATAAAGTGTCAATGAAATGAAATAAAAATTTGTAACTGTACATTGTTTTAAATCGTAATTATTTCAGTAAACGACTACTAAACTTCTAAATCCATACAAATGAACCACAATCCATACAAATACAAATACAATGTGATTAATGTGATTATGTATTTTAACCAGAACTATTGCTCTGAAAGTATAATATGATAAACTTTATTATATCTATTGTCAGTTCGTGAAGAGATGGTATATTCACATCGACGCCTACGCCCGTTTTATTATTGGACATGAAGTTATGGAGACATCAGAAATTTCGACGTGGCGTTTCCTGTTAAGTAATCCCATTTTGATCGGAATATTCGAAGCTCAATACCTGATAGTTGAAAATCGATATTGTAACGAGTCTACAGGGATCGTATTGAGTGGAAGCAAGATTTAGTGATGGCTCACGCCTACTCATGAAATTCAAGATTATAATTCTGGGATATTTGGACGAGGGGCTATGAACTTATTGATGTTTTTGTAATATCCTGGTAGGCGAGCCATATGTTCATCTGATGTTATGGAACCACCTTTGGACATCTACAAGTTCCTTTAAGATAACAGACGCGTTACCAACCTTTTTGTGGATCTATTATTGGACTACCCCTCTGAAATTTGTACTGTATGTATAGCAAAAAACAGCCTTTATACACAGATATCCTCGTCTTGTCAGAGGGTATTAGGGCATAATCCCACTGCGATTGGCTGACTTCAGATATCATCGAACTATTTTATTAGTATTTCGAAAATATTTAGGTTTCCTCACGATGTTTTCCTTCATCAGTGAACACGTGATAAATCGGCACTCAGATTGCAATTAACAATTTGCAAAGCTTTGAACTGAGGTCGCTCGAGTATTATTAAATTACGAGCAAATGTGAACACCTTTAATTTTTTGTTCTATTTCGAAAACAACCCGTACACGCTTGCAACCCTACGATGTTGCCTTGTGCGGAGGTTATCACTTAACATCAGGTGAACCATCAACTCACTTGCCACCTTCTCACATAAAAAAAATCACTCGCTCCTCGTCTATACATCGTATTGTCGAAAGCGTGCGTAAACTACAGATTGAGAAATATTCGTCGAAACTTTCGAAGTCCTCTCACTTAGCGCTCGAATTAAGAGATTAAAATATAATGCAGCGCCGCCCAAGTGACGGTGACAGCAGAATGACTCAACTGGAAGCCTGCAGACATGTTTATGCGTAAACTAGTCACATCATTATCATAAGTTTGTTTAAATCGAGTAAAGTTCTGTGGGAATTCACTTGTGTTGTAGTTCGGCTAAGTTTGTAACATATTCAAACCCGTCAACAATCTAAAATATGTTTCCTTTTGTTTTCAAAACGCATCTAAAAATCACGATACAGCGGGAACATTGACAAAAATGCAAAACTTATAGAAATACAGTCATGAAAGTAAATGCTTAAATAAAATTCTCTTTGAAGAGATTATTTACGTTATAAATATTAATTTGACTTTCATAATGTTGTGGTACGGTTAAGTTGTATAGCAAATTGTATTTATATACTACACTTAAATTAGCTATGTTAAAATTTACTTCATAACTTATTGGAAAATTGTATTCGTTTTGTATACAACCTCTAAATACATACAATGTATAAAATTGATAGTGTTTCTTGTCTTAACATTGCCAGCGATCTAATTTATACGTGTTCCTCCCTCCCATTCGACCCAGTACTTACCAAGAAAGTTACAATGAAAATACTCCTGAATCGTTGTAAACTATTTACTTATCGGTTATTATTAAACAATCTTCAAATATATTATAACAGTAGAATATTCTTAATGTCGCATTTCTACAAAATCCAACGCTCAGTAGCATTTAGTTCCAAATAACGGGATCTACTCGAATTGGTAACTTTAAAAGCGTTATAATAACGGATAAATCTTTATCAATCACAGAGTACGCCGCCGGCGACTGGTCCAGCAATTTGAATGCGAATCTCTGGTTAATTTACAATAAGTAAATCACTATAAGAATGATTAACGGCTCACAAGAATCACTTTTATTTCGTTGCCACCGATTCAGGCCTTCACGTTCAAGGCACAGAGCAGCTACCGATAGAAGCCTATAAGAATAATATTATATTAGATATGTAAAAATAATAGTATCATATGTTGGGGCTAACTCCTAACACCGGTTATGATGATGTAAATGATAATATAATTTATTAGAACACTCTATTACAAAATTGATATAGTTAAAATGATACACTTTGATAATATGATATACAGCGTGTCGTTACCATCGAGACAATAAATGAACACACATATAGGGGATAAGTTTTTAAAATTGTATTAAACATTTAAATTCTTTAAACATCAATATTTACAGAGTTATTAAATTTTCCAAAAAAAACTATTTTAGAACACCCTTACCTATAAAAGCGTAACGTAAAGTTCATTTGTAAAGGTCACAAAGCATATGAATGGGTTGAATGAATTTAAAAGAGACAAAACATACTGTCAGAAGGAGAGGCTTGTAATACGACGCTGTGGCGCGAGTTGTATATTTATTCTTCAAAAAAGAGCTGTCCGAGCAATCTATAACATCGGAGCCCGGAATACACTCAGAGACCTTTTTAAAGAGATTAATATACTCACTGTTGCGTCTCAATATATTTATTGTAATATTTTGTATGTTAAAAATAATATTAATAGTTATCTAAAGAATAGTGACAGACATAAACTAAATACTAGAAATAAGGACAAACTAACTACGCCATTGTTTCGTTTACAAAAAGTAAACAGGTCGTTCATGGGGCAAGGTGTGCGCATGTATAATAAAATCCCACAGTCGATATTAAGTCTGCCACTTGATGAATTTAAACGAAAAATTAAAAGTAAAGTTATGGCTAAAGCCTATTATTCTATTGCTGAATATCTTGACGACGCCAATGTGTGGGGTTAATACTGTTGATACTCACGTAGGCTAAAACAAGACTATTGTACATGTACTATTATATTGTAAACTGATTTTTTTTAAAAAAGAGCAACTGTTGAGTTTCTTTCCGGTTTCTTCTCAACAGAAACTGCTTTCCGAACCGGTGGTAACTTATGAACGTGTTCATTTCTTGTAAAATTTTGACGTTTCATAAGAACGCGCAAGCGTCTATGTGAATAAAGATATTTTATTATTATTATTTATTTATTATTATTATAGGATGTTAGAAATTTTGTTTCGTTTTTACTTAATTAGTTTGGTTGAAAAATATTTTTGTTTAATTATGGATTTTGTTTAACGTTAATATTTTTTTATGATTATTGGCAAGTAGCGTTAGACGTGTGTTCATTTATTGTCGCGATGGTAACGAAACGCTGTATATGGTGCGATAGTTAGGTATGATATTTTGAGAACGCGTGATTTTCTTGATGACCGAACGTGAACTGGCTGTTTGTCGCGATATATTTTAATGCTTACAACGTATTTATGGAGTTTAGGTAAAAAGTGCAAACAAAGCTGTTCGGTTCAATAGTGAACCGAACAGTATACGTTTTTTCAACTGTAGATATATTTCGTGATCCACTGTCTATATACATACGTATACTAAACACGTATGTATATAGACAGTGATCCACTGTCTATATACATACGTGTTCACTCAGTTTTGGTAAGTTTACCTTGCTAACTGCCATTGCGCCACGTATTGTGGGTTCAATTACCACGCAGGACAAACATTTTTCAGATCTGCAAATAGTTGTTCCGAGGCAGATGTGTTCTCTTTGTTGTGTTTTGTCTCTATTTGTAACACCTCTCGAGACACAGGAGCTTTTTCCCAGAGAGGAGATTAAAAATATTAAATTAAAAATAAATGCTGTCTCTACGCACACCTACTCTGTGCCAGATAGACACTTCCATACAACATAACCCATAATTAGGCCCGCTGACGACGGTATCGGTGATTTCACTAATTTTATAAGTAGAAAGGTTTGTTTGGCGTGACTGCGCCTTTCCGGGTGCGCTTTATTATAAAGAATGGCCTTTTATTATATGCTTCTGACACTGCTCGCCTTTAAACAACTCAGAAACAAATATATGTAATAACTCTTTACCCTTTACCAAAGGGAGTCAGTCACGTAAGCTTACTCGTGTATTGGGCTTGTAGACGTAACATCGAGTTTTGAGAAGTGGTACTATTATTTATTGGTAGGGGTTGCCGTAGTTTGCTTGCTAAGCTTGTCTCGAGCAGAGGTAATTAAGAGAAGAATTTTTCCCAAGTGGGGGATTCTCCAGAACCAATAGCCGGTATCCCCATTTTTTTTTTAACTTGGGGGAAATGCCAACGCATAGACTCGCACCGACTAAAACTCCTACGATGTTCCACCTAGGCGCAAATCGGCAGGGCCATGGGAACGCTTTCGCACACTCCCGCCACCCTGCCAGCGCTGGCCGCCTCAGCAGCTCTCTCGGGGAGCAGGGCCGGTAGACCTGTAGTATCTTCGATACCGTTACCACGATATTATGGGGAATGGGGATGGGCCTACGGCAACATCACTCACTAGATGAAAGGTAAAAGTATAAATACATTTACTTCACGCCGATCCTCTGTAGGGCCGTGGTACTTCCCCGATTTGAGCTGGCTCCGACACGTATAAAAATTTATTACGAAATACATATAAGTAGGACTTACATCCGCAAGAAAATATATATGTCTATCTGCAATTTTCAATGCTCTAAGATAACGTATAAGCTGATTTAACACTTAAAATTATATTTTGTTTTGAAAAGAACCACCAGACGCTGCGATAACAGTTAGTTCAAAAGAAAAAGACCGATACAAGCAAACCAATTTGTTACCACCCGAGAGCATGTAATTCGATTCCTTAACGATTTCGCGGCCATTAACGAGTCGTGTCGTCCGCGTAACGGCTAGCTGCCGACACGGTAACGGCAAGCATGCGTGACGGTCACGTCCACTACCAGTTTTATTTGCTGTCCGTGTGGTATTCCCTCTTCGAAATCCTATAAAGGTCATTCGTTACACGTACTGACGTTTTATTTTATGAAAATAGTTGGCAAGCAAGCGGTTGGCCCCAACTACATCATAACATCCGTGATGATGTACTTGAGGCAACTTTCATTAGAGTAGAACATCTGGATCACCAGACGATATGTAAAAGCGCAAATAACTCTACTCTCAACCAGTTGTCTGTAAGGCCGTTCTACTTTCATCACAAGCCGCCCCTATGTAACATAAGACTACAAAACCTATCATTCAACGTTTTGCCGGTTTTACGACAGTTATATCAAAATATGTCTAAGTGTTCACATAAGTTGAATGGAACGTATAGCCAGTTCATGTACTACATGGATCATTTAGAATCTACCAACAAAATAGATTTGTAATAGATGGTTAAAGACAGTTATGGGTTGGCGGCTGCATCTATTCGGGATCTTCATCTGCATCTGCATCTTTCGCTCATTCAAATTCCAGTGTAGCGCGATGCAGTGTCAATCTGATCTATGTCTAAAAATTACCGGCTGACCACAACACGATGAATGTGGTTATTACCAATAATACTAATAAAGGTAAGGTTACGTTAATATCGATAGTCGTTAAATCTACAAATCAATACTCAAATTTTTATCTATTATTTAAATTTTGACATGCTGTGATGCAGTTTTCGCAATTATGTATGTATACATTGATACATCCTGCTTAGCTCCCTAATGGTGTGTCGTAATTATACAAAATTTCATGCACACCTTACAGAATACATAAATAATTTCCCTTTGATAGACAATCAATCTCGCATAATGAGTTATAGGTCTGACAGAAACGTCCAAAGAATCAGATAACAAAGTGTGCTTATTGAAAACTCGGAGGTGCTTTAAAAACGAGTTGATTGCAAATATCTAAATAGTGATAAATAGGGGCCTTCGTTCGATATTAGCGGTGGGGCGAGTCTGATCTGATCGCTATCATGTCTTGGAATGAGAAGACAGGTGTCAACAGATAAAGATTAACAAGACCTCGCATCGGTCCAAATAAAACGTATACAGATCTTTCTGAGACTACCGCACTTTGATGTTACGTCTTTAGAGAGATGCTTATCGCGCTTCCAGATGTGACATTTATATTCTGTTTATTTTTCTGCAATGATATTTTCAAATTTATGTTGTAAAACTTACATACAGATAATATGAAATAGTTCTCTATCCAAACTATAGATTGTAAAATTCTTGGACCGAAAGTATTCTACTACCTCCGGATGTAAGTTTTTATCATATAATGTAAGAACTGTTACAAATCAATTACATTATGTACTATATTTTCCACAACATCAAAATATGTTATTTTATAACTTATTACGTGATACATGCGTTCTGTATTTATTTTTTCACTCATATTGGCCTATTTCTCCGTTTTGTACTTGAACATAAGGTCTATGCAACTCGAAGGCAGGTCCCAATTCAGTTTAATAATTTGTCCTTATTCAAATAATTGCAATGCACTGAATTATGATCAAACCACCAGTAATTTCTGACTTTCTAATTTACAAACAGATATAAGACAGATCAAAGCAGGATAATAATTATGACAAATCAATATAAAAAATATATAAAAATTTATATCTTATTTTTAAAACAATTTGCCCTATAGTCCTATAAGTACATGTCTCCATATCCAGTTCAAAGATTAAATTCATTAACGCAATCCACGTTCGACATAAACAAAAGCCTAAGTTGTTAACTGATTTTAACCACATAATACAATATTCGGAGTGTAATTAAGCTTAAGCTGTGTGGTTACGAAGTAAATCTTTACTGTGTTAACCGATAATCAATCTATTGCCCGAAGCAATGCAATAGGGTATAAGTCGCTTAACATTACAACGGGGCTGCATATTCGCATCTCGGCGGGGCGCAGTAGCGATCCCTGAGGGCCCCACCTGTTAACGCGTCTGTACCAAGCTGCTGCAAAACCCTGACGCCTGGAGGCTCTGCAGTAATGACCCCATTACCACGCCGATTCCTGCTGCGGGTCAATTTCATTGCACGCTTTACAAGTCGCTCTATACTAGCGACAAAATCATCAAAGGCCCCACTAAAGTCGACTTGGATAGCGTCCTTACTTGTTGTTGTTTGTAATTGTGAATTTTGGTGTTGAGGAATGTTGGGTTTTATTAAAGCTATTATCTGCGGGTAATGAACGATGTCCCGCGGCCAGTGACACTTTATGAAGTCGTTCTTCAGGCTAATGAGTTAATAAAACTGTTCGTGGGAAGTCGCCGCACGCGAGTATTTCTTACGCAACTGCTCCTTTCACGGAAATCACGGACACCTGATTTTTATTATTATTTTTAACCATACGTTATAATAGTGTCAATATCGGCACCAACGTTTATGAGTTTCAAATCTTCACTCACATTTTAATAGCTGAATCAAAAGTATGGCTAATGCACTGATGGTATGAACTGTCTACTTAAAAAGCAAAAACACAATTACAAACCTTACACGAGTTCAGAGCAGGGAAGCCTCCAACGATACACTTGTAACTTATAAAAGAATCTGTGACGGAAATCGTTAAATATTACGACCGCAATTATATCCCACCGTATTGACTGCTGCATTATGAATCTAAACAACCGCCGGCGGCAGAGATAGCATCTTAAAACAATTCCAAATAGCCCCATTCAACATTCGTACCGGTCGTATTTCAAATTCCCAATAACGGATTTAATTGTTTTCGAGTGACTTCATTAATTTATAACGCGCGTTCCAGGTGATCCGCCACTTTTTAGCTTTAGACGCGCCGCGTTCAAATTTTAGATTTTATCGCGGCCCCAATAAAGGCTGGTTTGGCGTGGACTGTTTAATTAACAACATTAATCACTTGTGGCGGCGATGGTACGTAATGATGGTCCGCAATAATTGCGGGATCGTCCGATATCTAATTCAGATCACGATCGGTCGCCGCCCACGCGACACCATCCAACTCACGTAATAGATCGTCAACCATCTCTATGCGCGCGATTGTAATTGTTTATTTATTTTATACTGTAATCGATTGGAGATGTCATATTTGAAAAGAAACAAAGATAGAAAATTTATTTGACCGAAAGAGAATGCACACTTTCAAACGTACCTACGTAAATAAATAATTCCAGAGTATAATAATCCAGAGACAAAAAGGACATGTAGATATTAAAATTAAATTATAGTTAGAACTTTTTACAAGGGCATTGAAATAATATGAGATTATATTTTTCTATGGCGAGAATCATGCCGTGTGTAGAAAATAACGTTCATTCGATATTATAAAACTGTCAATGTCCAATGATATTATATACGTTACATTTAATATTTTACATACTTTACATTCATGTTATTAAACATCATGGTCAATGTCATATGAATATTTATATATATTTGTACTCCTCGTGTTCGCCAATTAGTTAAAATGCCATATTCATTAAAGAAAAAGTATTAATTTTAATTTCTCTTACCATTCGTTCACATCAGAGACAATATACTTTTATTTGTACTAACAATGTAGAACATAACTATGTTTATGGATTTTATCGCGTTTAATAAGGTTGAGTCAAACTTTACTTTTGGGCACTTTGGTACACTTCACAGCATCCATGATCAAAGGAAAGTATCTATCTATCATACATTTACGGCCGGTTTCAATGTTCTTTCTGTAGATTTGGTTACTAGAGATAGAATTTTGAAATTGGTACTATGGAGGTGATTTCAAATAACTATTGCTATTAACCAAATCTATAAATAGACAGAACATTGAAACCGACCGTTAAAGAGTTTGCACTACTTCACTCGTTTCTGAAACTTTGTTTACCTCAGATCCGCTTCAAGGATATTCTTTTAAAGTTATACAGCATATCGTTACAACCGTGACAATAAATGAACACACGTCTGACGCTACTTGCCAATAATCATAAAAAAAAATATAAATCGTTAAAAACTCCATAATTGAAAAAATATATTTTTCAAAAAACTAATTAAATAAAAAAGAAACAAAATTTGTAACATCCTATACAACTACAACTGACTGATTCATACATACAGAGACTTTTTCATTCGTTGCCACAACGTCGCATTACAAGTCTCTCCTTCTAACAGTACGTTTTATCTCTTTTAAATTCATTCATATGCTTTGTGACCTTTACAAATGAACTTTACGTTACAGTTTCATACGTAAGGGTGTTCTAAAAATTTTAGTTTTGTTAAATTTAATACCTCGATAAATATTGACGTTTAAAGAATGTAAATGTTTAATACAATTTTAAAATGTAATCCTCTATATGTGTGTTCATTTATTGTCGCAGTTGTAAAGACACGCTGTATACAAGTATGTATGTATGGCCTTAGTCACAGCTTAGATTACGAACATAATGCAAGCGATTCGAAGCAATATTTATCTTATCACTCAACGTACACTTAAATGTTGCACCACACCCAATTCGGAAAACCGTTTTGAGCACTTCCATATATCAATGAAACGTCACGAGTGAGGTACAAATCACGCGAAGGCGCACTTGGCGTATAATTTGCACAAATCATTGTCCGGTACGTCCGTCTGTGCGTGCGTTCGTTGCGAGAGCAAATAATTTCATTGCCCACGTGTTGCCAGATATTGCGACACCTAATAACACTCGTGAGATATTCGAGTGGTTCGCGCCAATTGTTCCAATTGGTGCTCCGGTGCGGCGTTTTGTCATGATCGCATGATTGATACGTTGATAGTTCATTGAAGAACCGGCTATTTTCAAGATGATTGTTTATGTGTAAAAAGAACCCGGCCAAGTGCGAGCCATCTATAAAAACAGCAAAAAAATTACGTTTGTTGTATGGGAGCCCCACTTAAATATTTTTTTATTCATTTTTTTAGTATTTGTTGTTATAGCGGCAACAGAAATACATCATCTGAAAATTTCAACTGTCTTACTATCACGGTTCATGAGATATAGTCTGGTGACAGTCTTATTGGTATTTGTTTTTTTTTTATTTACACTTTATGCACAAACTAGTATAAAGGCGGACATAATGCCAAAGGCGAGTCTTAGTAATAGGGTCCCGTTTACCCTGAAACATTTACTATAATACAACAACATAGTTTTGTGCACGTATTAATATATTTTCATTTTGTTTTAGAGACAAATAGGTCTAATGAGGAATATTAATTTAATATGCAGAGATTTCAATTTCAAATCTCAGTTTCAATAGATAGATTCACATTTAGATAGAATTACATAGAGTTAAAATTCTAAAAGCCCGCAAATTGTCTTCCCTCAGCATCACTGATAATTCTATGTCTACTGCTATTTTATAAGCTAGTGCTGTTGCAGAAGTGGGGATTGTTTTCCACTACCATTCTCACAGAAGACCAGCACCAAGTATTTCATATTCAAGTGAAATGTTGCTAAATCAATCATTGATGATAAGGATATAATAATATAAACAAACCTCATAATTAAAATTTGTAGAAAACTATAAAGACAATGACTCAATCTTAAGTGCAGAGATTAGCACTATAAAAATTTAAACCTCATAATATTATAACTCCAGATTAATGTAGTTTAAATTTGAAATATATTATTTATTTCAGTAACATAGAGGAAGACCTTAGAATTGACGTCTGTTTTACACCGCTTTACAAACGATAAACTGTTTAAAACCCCTAAAGAAATAACGAGTTTTCCAAACCGCCGCTAAGCAAGCAAAATTTTTACAACGATTACTACCATTTCCTTAAAAGGAGCCGGCAGCGATCGTTTCGTTCATAAATCATTCAAGGTGTAAAATTGCCCGGGGCGTGGTTATAGAAATTTTGACAAACTGGGCACTTTTAGAAAAAAACCTGATCTATAAATGCTTGCTAGGGTGATTGACTTACAAAGTACTTCGCAGACTTCAATAAATGTGTTAATTTTAATGAAATAGATTTGAAGTATATTAAATAGGCGACTATAAGCATGAAATTTCTCTTGACTTCAGATTTGTAATCGTATAAACATTCATTCATAATACTAATCAAGCAGCATTGGCTTAGATGACGTCTCCTGCTACACTATTTTCTGCAAACATGGATGCAGATGCGTTCCTATCCTATAAAGAGGAGGTGGTAGTATTTTGACTATCAATAAGCGAATGTAATACTCCTATGTTGAATAAAAACATTTGATTTTGATTTAAACAAGTTGGCTCTGGTTACCTCACTTCACGTCGGTCTTCTGAGGCTGATCTTACTTTAACGCATTTCAGAAGCCGATGCGTGGCCCCATCACAATAAAAAGCCAATCGTCTTGTTTTGTATTTTATGTGGAAAGAGTTGGGTAGGATGTGCCAAAGATCACTGCGACATAGAACGATCTATTGTAGTCTTCGAAAACATGGCTATGTTTAGGGGCTCTCCCCTAACAGTGGGACAACATTATTCTGTATTGTAACGTGTCTGGGTCACATAATTATGTGGGTCACACCAGCAGTTGTCTCGTGTGAGGTTTGAACCCACAACTCCTCTCGAAACCAATACCCTGGAAACCGCGCCACAAAGTCCTTACTGATTCCAGTAAGTGGCATAAAATTCTGTAAATATCATACCATATCAGCGGTGGGCTGGTGTGGTGTATCGAAAACCGTTTCAAGTACAAAGAACCGCTGTTGAGTATTCCGTAACTTTTCCTTTTCATTGGTGGGCAAGTGAGGTAGGTCGAAGGTTAGCGATATAGTTAGCAAGCCTACGGGTGTTGCGAATGTCCATGGGTGATAGAAATCATATACCAATGATATAATTATGATTATTTAATTTTATATTACATATATTTATATGAAACGGCAGTGATAGCCGTGACAGCCGTGATAGCTCAGTGTCCGAGCGCTCGCCTTTAATTCAATATACTCGAGCAACCTGAGTTCGATCCCCGGTGACGGCACCAATGAAATAATTAATTTTAAGTGTCGACTGATGATGTGCTTCACGGTAAATTAAAATATCGTGGGGAAACCTGTATATTTCGTAAATAATAACG